CAGCTGCAGGACCTGGAAGGCCAGCTGGCAGCTCAAGCACAGGACCCGGGCGACTGGGCGGTGGCTCAGGCACGGGACCTGGAAGGCCTGCTGGCAGCTCAAGCATGGGACCTGGGCGACCAGGCAGCAGCTCAAGCATGGGGCTTGGGCGACCAGGCAGCAGCTTGGGCACTGGGCCAGGAAGGCCAGGCATCAGCACAAACGCAGGACCTGGACGACCAGTCAGCAGCATGGGTACAGGACCAGGAAGGCCAGGAGTCAAGCCAAGCACTGGACCTGGGCGACCAGGCAGCAGCTTGGGAACAGGACCAGGAAGGCCAGGAATCAGTCCAAGCACAGGAGCCAAGAGACCAGGCAGCAGCTTGGGAACAGGACCAGGAAGGCCAGGCATCAGCCCAAGCGCAGGACCTGGGCGACCAGGCAGTGGCTTGGGTACAACTGTAAAACCGAAGTGTACTGTTGTATCGGAAACTATTTCTTCTAAAAACCTTGTTGCGAAACCTAGCAATGGACAGATAAATGGAATGAGATCTTTTCAAGGGCATAGACCTGTGTTTCATCCACAAGGTAAAGTTCTAGAGCAAACAATTTTTTCACTTAGTTATTTGTTTTATATTTTTAATGTACGTCTGAGGTAAGGTCATTGAGGGTCTTTGACAATTATAGGTGGAATTAGGAACACTTGGACAAAATAATATATTTGCCTTTTTAAGAGTGCGTTTAACTATAGAATGCTTTTTTCTGCTTTGCAACTTTATTTACTTATGTTCTTACTCCTTGAAATACAGGCCTGGGGTGTGAAGTATTCTGGATGAAGGGATAGAGTGTACCATCAGCAAGTTTGCTGGTGACACAGAACTGGGAGGGGTGGCTGACACGCCAGAAGGCTGTGCCGCCATACAGCGTGACCTGGACAGGCTGGAGTGGGTGGACACTTGGTGGAGAGGAACCTTATGAAATTCAACAAGGGCAAGTGTAGGGTACTGCATCTGGGGAGGAATAACCCCATGCATCAGTAAAGGTTAGGGGCTGACCTCCTGGAGAGGAGCTCTGCAGAGAGGGACCTGGGAGTCCTGGTGGACAACAGGATGACCATGAGCCAGTAATGTGCCCTGGTGGCCAAGAAGGCCAATGGCATCCTGGGGTGCATCAAGAAGAGGGTGGCCAGCAGGTCGAGGTCATCCTCCCCCTCTACTCTGCCCTGGTGAGGCCCCATCTGGAGTATTGTGTCTAGTTCTGGGCTCCTCAGTTCAAGAAAGACAGGGAACTGCTGGAGAGGGTCCAGCAAAGGGCTACTAAGATGATTAGGGGATTGGAGCATCTTTCTTACAAAGAAAGGCTGAGGGACTTGAGTCTTTTTAGTCTAGAGAAAAGACTGAGGGGGGATCTTATCAATACTTATAAATACTTAAAGGGAGGGTGCCAGGTAGATGG